GCATACAAACACAGATTCACACAATGCATCCCTTACACACAACCAGAAACACATAATACATCCCTTATACACAAATACACACCGCTTCCACTACACACAAACACACTACATCACCTGCACAAACTGGTAACCCTATACACTACATACCATAAGCACACATATTAGATCCTCTACAATAACACATAACACATCCCCTACACACTCCACTCCCTGTGAGCGAACTCATGGGTGGGTGGAATTTATGAGTAAGCCTTATGGGCATACTCACCATCAGGCCCTGGGGCCCAGACCTTGAGCTGTGTAAGGGGCCCCAAAAAATGGAGCTGCTTCCAATTCTCCCAGAACATTGAATTTTGTGACCACAGCTGCAAACAGCCTCCAGAGATCCTCTTCTACACCAGACCAGTGGAGCCAAACTGCAACCCATCATCATCCTCATCTGCTTGTAAGTAGGCAATCTAGTATATTATTAGTGACACTAATCTATAATGTACCTCACATTAAAGGGACACTATAGCTTAATGAAGTGGTTCTGGTGTCTATAGCTGGTCCCTGCAGGCTTTTTAATGCAAACACACACTGTGTGCAGCACTGGCGTTAGTTCATATGGGTGGGGCATTGTGATGTCACATGGGGGGGCAGCAAATTTTTATTTTGTCTAGGGCGGCAAAAATCCTTGCACCGGCACTGATAATGGGCAGGTGCACCAGTCTACTGGTGACCCACAGGAGGGGAGTGCACTGATTGCACTGCACTCTCCTCCTGTCCAGCCCCATCTTTACCGCAGTGCAAGTGCCCTCTGCCCCTAATTTACAGTGGCTCACACTCACAACAAGCAGTGCCTGGAGCCGTGAAGGAGCCGGTATGGCAAAGAGCTACTGATTAGCATAACATCAATATCCGTTATAAAACCAGGAAAAGGTGGGCATGGATGGTGAACTGATTTGGTGGTGCAATGGGCCACTTGACTGGTTTTGCCCTCCAGGCCTAAGGCTGCCAGCCCTCCCCTGACTGTCCCCATACACACACTGCCCCCCATACACACACACTGCCCCACAAACACTGTCCCCATACACACACTGCCCCCCATACACACACACTGCCCCACAAACACTGTCCCCATACACACACTGTCCCCTAACACACACACTACAACCCTGACATACACTGCCGCACTCACACACTTTTACCCTTAACACACACCACTGCTCCTATAGCCTATATCCCAGCAGATCCCAGGTAAGTTGTTAAACTGTTCTTAAACGGTATGACTACTTACTCTGGGGTGGAATCCTGGCACTACTGACACCATAACTACTACACTGAGCTGTAGTGGTTATTGTGCCTGGATTATTTATTTAAATAATCTACAAGTGCCCCTCCCGAGATCAGGCTCTGGATCCGCCACTGTACAGCACGCTGTAGTGGTTATTGTGCCTGGATTGTTTCTTTAAATAATCTACAAGTGACCCTCCTGAAATTAGGTTCTGGATCCGTCCCTGACAGGGAAACATTTGACTTGGGGCGCCTTGGAAAAATATTAAAACATTAAGTGCGCTTTGAACCTAAAAGGTTTGGGATCCAATGCTTTATCTGATCTGACAGAAAGTGCTGACTGGGAGCAGTGAACAACTTCCTGTCAGACCAGGTAGAGGATATAGAAGGTTCTCTATCATGATCTGATCGGCCACGCCAAAGAAGGGAGGTATGCAGGCACAGGAGGGGAGAAGAGACCACAAAGGAAGGATACCAACACAAGGGCTAAAGTGGACAATAAAGAGACACACAGAGCAGCTGGGTGGGATACAAAGAAACACACCAGAGGAGAGGTACAAAAACAGAAGGTCTGGGTAAAGGGAGAAAGATACAAGGTGTTGAGGGAATGAGACACAAAGGGGCTAGGGGGAGAGACAAACAAAAGGCGCTCGAGGAAAAGAGGCTTGGTGGGAGAAAGAGACACAATGGGGCTGGGGACAAAGACACATAGGGGAAGGGGAAAAAAGAAACACAGGACTGGGTGAGAGAATAAGACACACAGATGTTCTAGGGGGAGACATTGAAACACACAGAGGGCAGAGGGAAAAAGAGAACCACGGAGGGGCATGGGAAAGGGAGAAATAGACAAAGTACTGGTGGGGGAGACACACAAAGGGGCTGAGGGGAAGAATACCTCTTTCCCGCCAGTCTCTTAATGTAGCCATGCCGAATTTAGTCAGCCGTTAGTACTGGCCGAATGAGGGGAAAAAATATTGTGCAGCCTCAGAGGGGATGGGACCCCAATCGGGTTTTGAGCTTCAGGTCGCTGGGATACATATCCCAATGGCCAAGTGCTTTTGAGATAGGGCAGCTTCAATTGGGCAGCACCTCTGTTTACACAATAAGTGTTTGTGTATATATGAGCTAGTGGCTGAGTGTAAGAGTCAGTGAGTGAGTGTATGTAAGAGCCATTTGTGTGTTTGTGTGGGAGCCAGTTTGTGTGTGTAACAGCCAGTGAGTGACTGTGTGCAAGAGCCAGTGAGTGAGTGTATGTAAGAGTCAGTGTATGTGTGTGTAAGAGCCAGTGAGTGAGTGTGTAAGACTTAGTGTGTGTGTAAGAGCCAGTGAGTGAGTGTGTAAGAGTTAGTGTGTGTGTAAGAGCCAGTAAGTAAGTGTGTGTAAGAGGCAGTGTGCGTGCATGTTTGTGTAAGAGCCATTGAGTGTGCGTATGAGTTAGTCCATGTATTTGTGTGGATAAGCCCTTGAGTGAGTGTGAGTATGTGAGTGTGTGTGTATATGAGCCAGCGTCTGTGTTTTTGTTTATCAGCAAGTATGTGTGAGCCAGTGTGTGTGTCTACGATCCAGTGTGTTTTTATATGCTTTGTCATTGAGAGTGAGTATGGGTCACCGGGCGATAGTGTGTGAGAGGGTTTCCATT